ATAAAGTATACAAAGTGACTTGAGAGAATGTGTTTAAATGTGAAGCAAACCATTCTCTTGATTCAAAAAGATCAAGCATAACCACCAATTTCAGTATTTATCTGAAACGACTTAAATCTATTTAACTTTTTCAGATTAAAATCAGAGTATCAGGTTGCCATTCAAACTGTAAGTTGAAGTTTCCAGTAGTGGTAGGSTCAGTACCATATTACCGACCACCGTTGCCACCTGTACAACCTATGCAGTACCACCAGCCAGCATTACAACCCAGTGCTCCTATGCTACCAATGGGTGAAGAAGCATCACCGTCAGGAATGAACACAGCTCTTCCTGCTTACTCCCCTTCAGCACCAAACCCACAAGACCGTGAGTAYAMTACTATTCCATTCTTTCATTTATTCATTCCTTTCCACTTCTTTCTTATTTCCATTTTTCTCCTTTTGCTTGTTTTTGAKAATGATTTAGTATGACAGATCTCAAAGCATGACGTTCTTAAGTTGACAACATTTTATTTGAGAACACTTTTTTTTACATTCTAGTTTTTTTCTTGTAAATTATAGTTTCATTGGTCCATATATTCATTCATTTCACTTTTCATCCATTTATCCATCTAATCATTCATTTGCTTCTCCCATTAATGATTTCTTCATTAATTCTTTTATTCATCCATTCATTTTCTTTTTCTTTCATCCCTTGCCCTTTAATTCCATTCTATTCTATATGTRGTGTTCAAAACAAGCATTTTTTCACATTAAAAACTACATTTTTCATATCATTGTATTCCAGCAATTAAAATGTTTGCTAAATGGCTGTGAATTGAATTCTGTTTCAGAGCCGCCATCTTATGCCCAGTGTATGTTCGGTGGTGCTTCAATCCGTGACGATGCAGACGGGCAAGGTGCTATGGGAAATATGAACTTTGTACCTGTATACCCATTTGTCAACAACTACCAGATACCACCCCCACAGGCAGCAAATGCTCCTGTACCTGCTTATAAATCATAGAAATCGCTCACCAGCTACCACCCCCATAGGCAGCGAAGTTCTCTCCTGTGGTTGCTTATAAATATTAGAAGACAACTACCAACTACCACCCCYAAAGGAAGCTAATGCTCCTGAAGCTGCTTATAAATCATAGACGACAACTACCAAATATCACCCCCATAGGCAAGGAATTGCTCTCCTGTTGCTTATACATGATAGAAGACAACTACCAACTACTACCCCCAAAGGTGGCTACATTTCCTTAGCTAATGACAGCTGAACTACTCCCACAGGCACATAATTATGTAGCTACTGTTATTGAAAGATGATGCCGCTGATGTTGATGATGATGAAAATAGGGGTATTTATGATGATGATGTAATCATATAATTTTAGATTTGTGAAGCAAAGATCAGTACAATATAGATGCTAAATAATGCTGAATCCGCTGTTTCCTATTATCAATCAGCACTTTTTAATGGTAATAAGTTTTAAAAGTGCTATTTGTTCATGGATTAAGTGTGTTACTCGTGACAGTAGCGTAATAAAAGTAATGTGAAATTGTTGCAATAGCAATAGCGTTAAAGTGCTTATGTGCAACTATACTAATGTATATAAAAAATGCATCAAAATAATAATTCAAGGTATTGGTCTTGCTCAATTGATGTCAAAATTTTAAGGAATAAAACTTTTTTGAGTTTAAAAGAAGACAAAAGATGACTATGAAGGCTCTTTTTTCACTAAAATTTGAAAGGTAAATATAATTTGCACAGCGGAAATTTTTTTTATTCTGACAACAAACTTTATTTATTAGTTTGTAATTTAATTAATCTCATTGTGAAAACAATGAGAATTAGTCACCTACTTGTGTTTCTATACAACCAACTGACAAAACTGTTGATAATTAGGACGTCGAGCTTCACTGTTCACAGACCATATGAAAAAGGGTGTGGCTGTTGTAGCGTCTTAGCTTAGAAGTTGTTCAATATATAATTACTACCCGTTAAAAGAACATATTTTAGATAGTAAATTATGAAAGTTTCAATGCTCTAACATTGTCAAGGTCTAGAAATTAAAGGTTTTTGAAATTGCAAAGTTTGAGTGAAAAATCAGTATAAGGAGCGTTTAAGGTGTTTATTCTCAGTGTTCTGCTCGTTTTTCATATGGTCAATAATTCAGTTTAAAGTACGAGAATRTATTTAAGGCTCTATGATATTTGAAATAAAAACAAAATGTCKTTTGGTTATTGTTTAGAGTTGTTTGCAAGGAGCGGTTTCTAAATTTGTCAAGAAGCGCAAAATCAAAAGATTTAATACGCGAATAATCACGCAATCTTACTCTAATATATAATTTTATACAATTTTTGTCTYAAAACAAAAAAACAGCTGCATCAAACTGAACTAACAGCCATGCATATTATTTSGAAACACGTGCGAAAGAGATTAGTTCCTAAACTCGTGAGTCATTTTCATCCGTCTGTGAAACAGCGTTTAATAGTAACTATTAGGGTATGGTAGGCTACCAAAAGGAAAATTCAAAACCGTTTTTGCCTAATTTGTTTTTCGCATGTCACAAGTTAAACTATTTGTAGCTAATAGGGGGTAATAGTATTTGATAGTACAATTCCTATTTCACAGACGGATGAAAATGACTCTATAGCCTAAGACTAAAATACATATTATGAAATGTAAAAGAAGCTATGTAGCTTCCAGAGCAGATGTGTCAAACTGTAAAAGCATTAAGATGAATTGTACAATGATTGTTAGCTTTAAAAGGTGCAAATTAATCATGATAATTTCAATATTTATGTTTGTTTCCGGATAATGCCATCTAAAAGCTGTGATTTGTAAAACTGTCGACATGTAGTTTGTTTTAGAGAAATTTGCCATCACCATTATCTCACATTCTGTCATAGAATCTGTTATAACTCACTAGCGCAATGATTTAAACGTAATGAGTAAAGGGTAGAGTTATTATCTTTTCTCAAACCGTATAAGCTCGTCACTTCAGCCCGGTTCATACAAGCAACGGAAACGCAAACGCAAGAAATCAGGAAACGTTTTTCATTGTCTTGCATCTGCGTTCGCATTTTCAACACGTGAGCTGGTATAGATTTGCACTTGCGCTTGCGTTTCCGTTGCTTGCGGAACCGGGTTTTATTTCTCACCTTGAATTCATTTCTTTCTCTTTTCTTATGTTCTCGTTTTTCATTTGCATCTTGCAGGCTTTTATAGATATTGTAGAAGGTCTTAAGGAAAGAGATCCTGAGTTCCTTATATGGTATTGAATTTGCACAATTAAAACTATACAGACAAACAGTGYAAAATGTGAACTTTTAAAATGATGGACGATTCATTGATATAGTGTAAATACTTACAAAGTAATAGCAACTTTTAATCTGTCTCCGGTAATACAATCATGATATTTAAAAGCGAACAATTTATACCGCCCTCCACATTTTTCATTGGAAACTAAAGGTAGGGTACTCGAGATARYACATGTGGTTTTGATGTGACTCTTCTTGGTCTCAAGCTTTTGATTAAGAACAGGCCTTCGAGCACACCATAATTAATTCAATGATTTGACTAGTAGAAACATTCTCTTAACATAAAATTTGATATTGATTTCGTTTCCAGAAGTCAAAATGTGTGCAAACTCTTTTGTCCTTTGTGCGTTCATCGCTTTGATGACTTTGTGCAGCACGCAGGCCAATGAATTCTTGTACAAGTAAGTTMATTATTTTATTTCCTTGTTTAAGTGGACAAGAAGAAGAACGCAAGTCTTAATTCCTCGCTATTCTTTTAGTTCAATTCGTGAACAAGTTTGACTTTATCAAGCYGGGCTTTCTTTCCGAGCTTTTGCGCGCAGCTTTCTTGTAGTGTAGACTTTGGATTGAATTAGTTGACGTCGATAATCGCGCGTTATGGTGCAACATACCTAACTTATATGTCGATATATTCAATAATATTATACAGTGAAAAGCCCGAGGCTGAATCACTTGATAAACGAGACTGGAAACCATTTAATGGAGGCTTGTTGCTGGAAGGATGCTATGAGGTTAGGCCCAGCAATAAGTGCAGCGTTGTGACGACACCTAGGCCTGTGACGACACCTAGGCCAGTCAAAAAAGTTGGAACAAAAGTAAACCCAGCATTATCATGCAAAGAGATTCTCGACAATGACGGGTGAGTTTTGGATTTTATTGTTTTTATTTCAAGGATTTTTAGTTTTTTSTCTGYATTTCACGGATTTAGAGAGTCGCGCTCSYAATTTCACATMATTRTATTTTTYCTTTGTATACAACTTGGTCGAGAAAGGGCGAAGAGTGACGTACGACCTGTGACATGGCTTSAAACTGATCACCCCACGATCGATTTTWTTSTAGTAAAAATGTGGATAATGTTTGAGTCAAGTTTCTTTCATRTACACTATTTTACTAGATCATCACCCAATGGTGTKTACTATATCAAAACACCTCCAACAGTGACCAAAGTGTACTGCTACATGACTGCCATACCTGGGTGTGGTGGGGGCGGATGGACCACTGTCATGAAGATCAACGGAAGAAAAGTAATTTGAGTTCATAAGGCCGATTTAGACGATGCAACTTTTGMCTACAACTATCGCATCAACATGACTTACAACATGGCTACAACTGTCGTAGGGTTATCAAACAATTGTTTTTAATCTCTACGACAGTTGTAGGCATGTTGTAAAGATGACTTACGCACGTYGCATGCGATAGTTGTAGGCAAAMGTTGCAYCTGTCTAAATCGGCCTTTAGTTTCCTGCATTGTTTTCAGCGCCATCTTGAAAGGTAACCGTGCCTTTGCATCGAAGCGAATCACAGCCGGTGATTATGTAACTAATAAATATCGGTGAACAATTGTCTTGTGGTATGAAAGAAGGTTCGTATCATTGCATGCTCACTGGCCATCTCTCTCTCCCTCTCTCTCTGCGCATGTCTGCCATGCACAAATACCTTATACAAGATAGTGAAGGGAAATTGGAAACGATAAGGGTTGCAGTGAGTATATAACTGCGTGTGAGGGCGGGGGTGGGGTGGGGTGGTATAACTGTAGTGGGGGGGACAACAACACAATATGGATGCTAATACAAGGATTTGAATTTTTAAGCAAACATTTAGACTCCAATCACCTTTGTGGACCAGCAAAAACTTCTACCTCCTTGCCAATGGCCAAACAGGCATCAATGAMCAAGAGACSAAACTCCCCACCTACTGGACCCTCCCTTTCAAAAGTCTTTGTCTTGGGATGAGAATCTCTGGTCAAATCAACTGGATTGGTTTGAATTACAGGTAACAGAAGGCATTCAAATAGATGTGAGAGATACTGTGAGGACATACGGGAGAAAACTTCAATTACTGAGAAGAGCGCTAAGCCATTAAGACCCTTGCAACATGAATAAAATGAAGTCCCACAACTGTGAAAAATAAACACTAATGTATTCTAATTACATTGATTTTCAATGCATTTCACGGGATTTTAATCAAATCGGATTATGAGCGCACTCAATGAKTGACAACCGGYAAATAACACTAGTTCGCATGTCTTTKCAGGGCCAATTCGCTGTACTCTGTGATAGCAGACGGTAGATATCGAAGTTTCTCTATTGGTCGTAAGCCCTGGAAGTCACTCATCGCTGGTTCTTCRCTTCAAAGAAACTGCAATAAAGAGGGCTTTAATGTCTTGAATAAGGCGCGAATCGGATTTTTTGCAAACCAAGAAAACGACTGCAAAAGCCCGGATTCTTACATCGCGTTTGGCGCCCTTTCCGGATACTGCTCAGGACGGGCAACAACAGGAAACTGTGTAGCAAGCAGTGGCGGCGATAATGGAATGAAAACRACGCCAGCCTTTGGTTTTGTGCTTGCTCAATAACCTAACTAGACGGCTGGAAAAGAGGATTTAATGACTGAGACGGCACTTGAAGGGGTGTAGCTAAAATATAACTGATATTGTGGTCATGTTCTCTTGTAATAATAGTGAAAAATATCAGCAATAAAAAGCATTTTCAAAGCATTTACTCGGTTTTTCTGATGAACCGCCGCAAAACGATGCTCAAGTCATCTTCATTGCCCACTCCTTTGCAGTTATTTTTGCGTTTTTTTTCAATTCTTCATCTTATTGTGACGAAAGGCATTGTGGGGTCTCTCGTCACCAATTGTAGTAGGCGTTCCTTGCGAGTCCTTGATATGTTAAAAGTTGAAAAGAGAAAATATATAGAGGAAAAGAAAACAACAACATAGAAAAAAGAATAAAAGAAAAAGAAAAAAGAAAGAAGAAAAGAAAACAGGAAACAAAAGAAAAAGTAACAATAAACAAGAAAAAACTAAAATTCCACCAGCAGGACTCGAACTCAGGACTTTCACTTCAGGAGAAGTTGTACCCCCCCCGGAATATATAAGAATTAATGAAAATAAAAAAATAAAAAGATGGGACGATTCCCCCGAGACATTCTATGAAGCTGAGGCGTCGAATCGGCTTACGTTACGGTTAGAGATTTCGGCTCTTCCACGCTATCCCGAGTGAACATAAAACTTAGTCTTAACCAAAAGGYCAGGGAGTGAGGGGGTAGCCGCCCACTAGAGCATACCTTTAGCTACCCTCTTAGACCATCGTACTATGAAGACACTTATAGATATYTAATATCTAATGGGGGTAGTCTATTCGGCGAAGTTCTATGCTAATATATGACGTCACCAAAATCCTTAGGGAGCAGCGAGCCAATCAGATCTCAATTCAGGAATTACCAAACGATACAGGGTTTGCACTGATCATTCTTCATTGGATTGATCATTTTATGGGGGGTGGGGATGGGTGCCGAGTGCTGATTTGCGGCCGAATACCGATGTACTCGATGTAATGTGACGGCATTTATCGACTGAGCTGTCAAATGTCGTATATTGTTTTCCAAATCATCACAGGAAAAGGTGTACAGTTCTTGTATTTGACGAACATCACACGAGTATTCGGATGAACACCACGAAAAAAATCCCTTTAAATTCTTAACGTAAGTGCATGGTTTTACAGACCAGGCAGACGTTAGGCAAGCTAGCAGATACTAGCTGTTGCCAAAGATTTTCCGGGATTCAACGGAAACTCCAACATTGCACTCGAACGTTCCAAATTTTCGTTCTTTTTGATATAAAGTAAGTTTACAAATGGGTTAATAGTAATTATCAAATAATTATTAAATGCAAATATAGTGAATATTTAATATTTGAAGAGGTGAATGACAATTCCGTATAAAATTGATAAAGAAGAATGGTGGAAAAATTAACATATCTGTGTTTAAAATGCAAATATGAACTGTAATCAGGCGAATTATACAGTTTGAATGATATAAACATTTTGTCGAAGAAATTAAATGATCGAGAATTTGATAATGAGTCTTTGACTACAGCAAAAATAAACCTCTAAAGAATCCCTGTCGTGGATAAAAATCCCTTTTCCAAATCTTTCTGATGTACATGTTTACTGTAGGCAGTGAAACAGGGCGCTCCGCGTCAGGCCCCACTGGAGACTGGATCAAGATCAACTATCACAATAGGTTCCTTGGCCCCTGGGAATCACCGGCTCTTTTGTATTTATAGGCCACGTTCCATTTCCTTGCAGCGTATACAGATAATTCAGAAAACGTTGTATACTAAAAATAGTGTACTCGAAGTTACTAAATCACTTGATGGCCTGAGTCACATGCAGTCCTCGACTGCCTATTTTTTTAATAAATCCCAGTCCCCCCTTAGTTTCCCATGATTCTTCAAAGCGAATGCTCTCCTCCCTCTTTTCTATAAAATTTTTATAACATCAAAAACAAAAACAAACATACATACAAACAAGGAAACACCACAGCATATATTATGTTGTACTGTCCCTCCCCTGCAYGGTAATATTATGCACATCAAACCGAGGTTGTTGTTGGCGGCGGCCATCTTGGTTCTTTTGATATCTATTCGTCCTGTGTTATTATTGTTGTGAAGTTTGGTTTGAATATACGGAAGAATTTCAAATAGATTCTAACAGTTTATCGATAAAAGAACAATTAAGTGTCTAATGGCTATGTTGGCTCCTTCTGGACCTCAAACTGGCRAACGAAAAGAGATTTACAAGTATGAAGCACCATGGACCATCTATGGAATGAACTGGAGTGTACGAACCGATAAACGCTTCAGACTGGCTCTTGGCAGCTTCGTAGAAGAGTATAACAACAAGGTACTTAAACAACTAAAGATTTTAAACTATTTTCATAATTTAATAGAAGCTCTTAACCTCAGTTCAAGGCTTTTTTTATATAAGCTTAAGATATAGTTTCTAATTTTGAGCAACTGCCATTTTTGTTAATTTTCTTAACGTTAAACTAAAAGCTTACGTCCATATGATAAGTCTTATTCCCAATATGAGGCTTTTTGTTTAGGGATTGTGAAAAGCCAATAATTTGCCGTAAGCGTTGCCTTTTTTTCAAAGATATTTGATTGATAATTAGAATTCGTAGGTGTTTTTGACTTATAAAATGTTGGACGTTATTTTCACTCTCACGCCTGCCGTGTTTTTGATAGGTTCAGATCGTGTCGCTAGAGGAGGAAATCGGCGAATTCACTGTGAAAGCGACCTTTGATCATCCATATCCCACAACTAAAATAATATGGATTCCAGACAATGTAAGTTGTCAGTTATACTAAATGTCATTCAGTTGATATCGATCTACATGTAGTTTTTTTCACGATATCAAGTCTTTTGTTCATGAAATGTTKATGTATACATGACATTGTCTTATTTGTAGCAGTGTCATTGTTCAAATGTTTTCCTGTCTGAATGAGCTCCTTGGATCTTCTGTCGAGATGATTACAGGAGTTGAATAGCTATTTCACGGTCCAAGGAAAACTGCTTACTCTCAAATATCATTGGTTAAAAATATTGCATACCACAAAAGTCTACATGTAATGTGTGAGGGAACTTTGGTTTTACTGTATGAGTATACATGTATCTAACCGGATTGTGTTTTTCAGAACTCTTATCCTGACCTGTTAGCAACATCAGGGGATTATCTTAGAGTATGGAGGGTAAATGATTCTGATGTCAGATTAGAGTGTCTTCTAAACAATGTAAGTACCATCAAGCCTAGGCTGTTCAAAGTCCAATAGTTCATCATCATTCCTGTTACGCCTAGGTGGCATGTAGGGCCGCTACTAAGAATTTCCACCTCTCCCTAAAGTCCAATAGTTACCACTGTTGAAAACCATCTTAAATCCTCAATAGGCAATTGTGCAGCTAGAACATTTTGTGGAGCAAATCGTGATGGTAGTTGTAGTCCTTGTACTTTTTTATGTCCACTACAGTCCTAATTAGAAGTTTTTACTTTTTTAAAGAAAAATTAGAAGTAGTTTTGCTGTTTCTACTAAAAAATCTAAAAACGGCTCTTATCAAGCTATTTTAGGGTCTCTAATAAGTATGAATACTACGTTCTACCATCATGCTTTGCTGCACAAAAGGGTGTCGCTGCAWATTGTCTATTGTAAATTTACAAACAAGAAAAGTCTGACTATGTTTRTTGTTGTTGTTTTTCTAGAATAAAAATTCCGATTTCTGTGCTCCTTTGACGTCGTTTGATTGGAATGAGGTTGATCCCAACTTATTAGGAACATCAAGCATTGATACTACATGTACTATATGGGGACTAGAGGTATTATACAATATCCCTATCATGAATGTCATTATTGGTATTAAGTTACATAATAATTACTSTTTTCCAAAAAGCCAAAAACTTTATTGATTTCTGAACTAAGTTATTGAATATTTTAAACTAGAAATCTTTAATTTATTATTTTTATTATCATTATCATTATCAACTAATTATCATTATTTAGTATCTTTCATTAGACTATTAGAAGTCAAATAGAAGATGCTACATGTTGTATCTTTTCCAGACTGGCCAGGTTCTTGGTAGAGTCAACATGGTATCRGGACATGTCAAAACACAGCTAATAGCACATGATAAAGAGGTAAAAAAGTGATCAAAGAATCTATCCACTTGTCATTGCAAMCATCATTTATCTGCAATAGATACCACTGTCTTTGCAGGGCAAAAAWGAGAAACCAGGAAACTGACCATTTCCAGTCATAGTTTCAATGTTACCAGTCAAATTTATGTTTAACTAGTTTGAGCTTCACAATTCACATCTGGACACTCATCTACTATTTGTTTAGGTATATGATATAGCGTTTAGCCGTGCTGGTGGAGGTCGAGACATGTTTGCGTCAGTTGGTGCTGACGGTTCAGTTAGGATGTTTGATTTAAGGTTTGTACATGCTGTCTTGAAAAGAATTGTAGAGATATAGCAGCAATTTTTATATACATTCAGTTATCATCYTATAAGAAATCTGACTTTTTGTACAGGTTAGGCATCCAATGGTATTGTGAATATTATACAGGGTTTTCAATAAAAGCTGGCAACCAGCGAATTCCAGCCTCTATTTAGACATTTGAGCTGGCTACTTTTGCCATGTCATGTTTAAATTTTACCTTTTAATCAGAATCTTCATATTCTATCATAATATTTCAAAAATTTTTACATTTTTTCTCAATTTCAATTGCTTTGCTTCAAGAATCGCAAACTTCAGCCGTACTAGCTGTCCGCCATCTTGAAACGATAAGTAGAGTGAGAATAATCTGGATCAATTTCATTCTGTAGCCGGCTGCTTTTTTATAACTCGGMCACTTGCTTGCAAATTTATTGAAACCCTGTTATATGAAGTAGAAATCCAATTTTATATTTGATTTATTTCAGACATTTAGAGCATTCAACCATAATATATGAAGACCCTCAGCATAGYCCTTTATTACGCTTATCATGGAATAAACAGGACCCTAACTACTTGGCTACATTTTCTCTTGATGCTGTTGAGGTATGCATCAACCAATGTTATAAGTAATACATACAAAAACAACCATTCACACCCCTCCCTCTGCAGGGAAACAGTTTGTAGCTCATAGGGGTAGGTTTGAGTGTCTGAACACAATATCCTGAATAATTATATTAAGAATATTTTATGCAATCAATTGAAGAAACGTGTATGGATATTTATATAAAACTAAATATTATCGTTGAATAACTTTTAATGAACATTTCAAAGTATTCAAATAATTTGCAATGTGTTCGAGAGCTTGAAAAGTGAAAAATCACAGAATTTACCCATCATACAACACATAAAACAATATATATATTTCTGTATTAATTGACTGTACAGCCTTTTGCAAAAATTATGAGAATTGTCAAAATATCTAAATATCATAATATACATATCCATATATTGTCCGGAACACGCGGGTTTGCTAGAATAATTCATTGTTKACATYKARAAAATGTTCAGAACTACGGATAAGTCTGTCGCCAAAAAAAAAAACTAAACTACAAAGACAAGGGACTAAGGGCATCGCGCGAGATTACCCATCATGCACTCGATATTATGATATTTAGATATTTCAACAATTCTCATAATTTTTGCAAAAGGCTGTATATAATATATTAAGAAATAAAGAAATATTGTGGAATGATAGTTAATCTGTTTATGCTTTTCAGGTGATCATTCTTGATGTGCGAGTACCATGTACACCAGTAGCAAGACTTAACAATCACAGAGCTTGTGTCAATGGAATAGCATGGGCTCCACACTCATCCTGTCACATCTGTACAGCAGGTATTCTCAAATAACTACTTAAATATCCTATTGCATAAAGTGGTTAACTGTAGTGATGATAGTAGTAACTCCTGAGATCCTCAATTTTAATAAATCAACCAATCAAGTAACTTTGTAGCTTCAACACTGTATTAGTGTAGAAGCCATATTTAATATGAAAATAAAATCAAAAATTGTTATACCTTTTGAGAATGATAAGTATCAAAGTATCCAACTGGTATTGTGTCGTTAATAATGTTTCTTGGACATTCTTAAAATGAAATCTAATACAAATATATCAAGTCTTCTCGTATTTATTTATTTCACGCCTTCTGTTTATTCCTTTTTAAACTTAAACTTAGTATTTGTATATGTATACAGTCACATAATATTAAATTCTAAAACTTAGAGCTGCTTGATATAATGTGATTTCTATTTTCCTTTTTTTCAGCTGATGATCATCAGGCACTAATATGGGACATACAACAGATGCCCAGAGCAATAGAGGACCCTATTCTAGCATATACAGCAGATGGTGAAATAAACCAAATACAATGGGCATCGACGCAGCCTGATTGGATAGCCATATGTTATAATAATTCAATGGAAATACTTAGAGTATAAGGTTGTCTCCATAGCAACAACATGATTGACAGCGCTACAGATGTTCTGAAACATTGTCATTATGCCGACTAGTGCTTTAGGACAAGCTGGTTTGTACAGCCCTTTTAGCAAATAACAAATGTTGAATCTTGAATAGTGCAGTAGTACATAGTTAAACAGAAGTTCAGAAACACCATTGCATACTTACATTTAAAAATACCTTTTATATACTCTCAAAGTTGAAAATCTTTTAATCTGAACTTGACTGCCAAAAGGCTGTTTTATTGTCTCCAGTGTTGGATGTTTTAACTATTATTCATGTACTCTGTGCTATTCAACGTTCAATACCAAAAGTTCTTGGAAATTGCTGAATGCAGTTATATTTTGTGTCGAGTCAGACTTCTTGAACGTTTCTTTTTTTTTTTTACAGTTTATTGCGTTTCAAGCTGTTTGTATATTTTCCTCACTACTGGCTTGAAACAAATTCAAAAAACAAGTTCTGTTATTCTATTTTATTGTTTATCTAGTGGTCCTTTTGTTCAGAGAGAAATTTAGAATGCATCGACAGCAATTGCTAAGCTACTAGTCTATAATTTGACAATGGTTCAGAAAACAACTGTACATCTTTAATGTCCCAAGCAAATACTGTGACATTGCTACAAATGTAGTGGTGTGACAGACAGACAACCAATCATAGTAGTCTTCTTGTCACATAAAGATAGTGTATGTTACAAAGATTGTTATATATGTCATGCAACTCAGTTATCACATAATCTCACAAAATATGTTATATACAACTTAGTTGTGCCAAATTCAATACAATTTTCTCCAATGTTATTTTTTGTTTCTGTTTTACATTGAATTTAGCGCACCTGAGACAAGAGCCTAGTACAATATTTATTACCTGAACTGTACCTTTGTCACAAAGTATCTGTCACACAACATCTGTCACACAACATCTGTCACACAACTTCTGTCACACAACTTCTGTCACATAACTTCTGTTACACAACTTCTGTCACACAACTTCTGTCACACAACTTCTGTCACACAATCTGTCACACAACACCTGTCATTTAATACTATAAAAGGTAATGCCAGCTGTCATGACTTCAAACTTGCCATGTCAAACTGTATACAGTATTCTGAGTGTTATTTAAAAAACGTTATGTAGTTATACAGAATGTAATGTTATTTTAGAAGGAAACAACATCACTTTGGACAGCTATTTTCAACAATTTGTTCAACTTTCTAAAAAATTGAAATAAGATTGAAATAACTTCAAAGATAACATGAATCTAATGGACAAATTCTTGAAAACTACTGTAAAGTGACAACTAGTTGAAAAACAGCAGTATAAATATGACTTGCAAATGTTGTTAAATGTTTTCTTGTACTGTTGTTTTCCTTGCAGTTGTTACTGTTCTTAGGTTGTTCCTTCTGTGTTCTCATTGTTGTATATAGAATAAGTTTTGTATAAAGACATCAAATTACATCAGTCTTGTGTTTTGTATCCGATTTGAATACAATGACCACAATGAATCATGGGATATATAATGTGACGTCRCCACCGTTGATATTAGTTCAGTGTTAATTTAAAGGCCCAGTGTGCATCATGCTTTGGGGGSCGTGCGGGCCTGGAGGCRGCMATTTTCAGTTTACTGAAAGTCTATAAATTGTACTGTGCGTTTCGAAGCTTTGACCATCTCACTTTTCTAAGTACTTTAAACGCTAATATAAGAGTTTTAAACCATCTGACATTCGTTTTATGGTGATATTTGGATACTAGAAGTATTTTGGTGTAAATCATAACAATAACAAAGGCTCGCAAAGCATAATGGTGCAAACTGGGCCTTTAAGTGACAATTTTACCTTTCTAGTTTAAGTTATTCAATTTGTTAGCAGAAAGTCTTAAAAGGATGTAAATTCCTCTACTTTGAAGACTTTTTTAGACTAGAGTGGTGGCAGAGCCTTATTTATTGCCTACCCTRATCATGTTCAAAAGTGGGCAACAAAACATGACGGTCAAAACCATGACCCAAAATATGATCCCTATGATAACAATCCTATCAATAAGGTCCTTTATCAGACCTCCTGTTCCGTTAGGTTCATAATATCGATAGGTCAAAACCAACATCGCAGGGGTAAGAATCACTATGATGAATAAGAACCCCACGAAAAGGGACGTGCAAGCGCGAATGAAAAACATCTCAAAGTTSGGTATCCTGCTCCATCGGTAGAAACTGGAAATACCTTTCCATAACGAAGTCACGGAAATAGCGACGATGTTGAGGACAAGAAAACTCTGGCTTTGGTCGAGATAACTTTGCAATTCCTTTTGGTTACCGCAGCCTCCAGCTACTTTGCACAGCCAGCAAATAATACCCTCTTTTCCTTGTTGGACAGCGAAGATTTCTGCKGTTAGGGTWGAGAGAGGGATGTCTTGCAATAGGCTTGCWCCCAAAAGAAACACCAGTTTCATTTTGATGAGTACACTTCGTCCCTTTTCGCCGATTTCTTTCTTTTCCATGGACAAATACAGGGTATAAAGCCAAGAGAGTGTGTGAGTTAGTAAAAGTATTGAAGTTAACGCCATGAAGAGGCAGTAGACTATTGCAACAGCCTCAAAATGTGTAACTTCCTCGTCAATTTTAGCCTTGTCCCATAGCGTTAAATCTTCRCATATTCCTGGAGCTGTAAAATTCAATACAGTGACATTCTGTGCTTGTTGGTAAGAGCGCATTCTGCTGAGAACGGTGAGAGCTGGCACCAGAACCCARCARTTCGTGAAGAAATTGAAACCCTGCAAGACTAGAAAGATTATGAATTCAACCAACAACCCCTTGTTCAAGTTTATCCACCATTGTGGTTTTGTATTAAGTATGGATGCTTGCTCTCGGATAGCTTTTCTCATTCGCGGTCCAATTTTTTTCTTATTCATTTCTGCTTTCAGGCTTCGTTGATATTTCTCAGCAAGTTGTTGACTGACAATATCTTCTGCCAGGTTCATGGCCTTGTTCGTGTATGCTGCTTTGAGCATTTTGAAAAACGCAATCTGGACAATCGACTCAAGTTGAAACCTTTAGCTTTTTGGAACTTGATGTTCAAGTTGAAGTTTAAAGGTGATTATCGTTCAGAAACTGTCAAACTCTTCTAACTCAAAAACACCCGTAATGCATATAATAATTCATCAATTCACAATTAATTATTKATGGAAATGCACAAAAAACGTTAACAAAAAAAGCTGCAGCTAGCATCGCACGGTTTTGCAAGGAACCCAACGCGATCAACTTCTTCAGACCTTTTAAAATTCTTTAACTGAAGAAACATGAAAAATATTAAGTTCTTCATGTAGTACAATATGTCAAAAGAAGTTCATTTTGGCTTCAAGCCACCAAGCTTCCAAATACGGGCAAACAGAGCTGTTTTAGTCGACTGGTGGCATGATTGAAATTATGCCAGTTTTCCAAGCATATATTTGAATATCTCGCCAATAGTCTTAATAATTATAGTTATTCAGGGGTGCGTTTATTCATTTTTATCCATATTTCGTATTGTTTTGTCTTATTGTTCTTCCTCAACGGAAAACAGCGCACAACTTTGAAGAATGTTTCTGCATAGTTTTGGACTCCCTGTGTTTTACCACTACAATGCATTGTGGGAGAAAAATGGCGGCTTACGATCATCCGAGAATACAAGATAGGAGATATTTCTGTTCACAAATGATAGTTTGGGCTGTATATCATGTCCAATTCAATGCTGTTATAGTCCCAGCTACCAAAGGTGAGGTCTTAATGTCAACGGTTCTGTTAAATATTTAGTATTGTTTATATTCAATATTGAATCGCTTCGCTGAACGCCGAACGCGCGGGAGATTTGATCTACAACTCGCCATGTGCAAATACAACATTGAAGATTTTTTGAGTGTTCTTGCTATTTCGTGAATYTTTAGTAGTAAAAGAGTAACTCTGGCAGTAAACGTCTTTGGATTAGGTTAACTTTGAATAGATAAAGGTCTCGATTTTTTGCAGTTTAATAAGACACCAACTGGATGCTGAGCTGAGTCCTACCAAGTTTCGTTGTCATAACTTTTCGGTCAAGACGTAAATTTTCTGTGTTTTTCCTACTTTACTGGACAAAACTACAAATGTGTAATTGTGTAGGAACAATGTATTCTTATATTTTCTTGTGTGTCCAAATACATGAAATTTAACCTGAGGTTCTTGAGGTGTACTTTCTGTCTTACGTGTCTTACGTGACATGTTAGTCGTTAGTCTCTTGTCCTAACCACCACTGTGTTGTAGATTCAGGGGTTGCAGTGCATGTTGACACCCCGTACTTGTTACTTGGTTTCGTATCATCAACTGTAWGATAATAGCCAAAGYTGTCAACATTGGATTTACTAGGTGGCTTAAAGGTGCATKGTTGGTCAAATGTTACATCAAGATGAAAATGCCAGTTATCGACWCCATTATTATAGGTCGCGGCAGTACAGTTGGTACAGTTATATCCTCTGATATCAATAAACTTGTACCTCCTRCATTCATGGATGTCSCTGTCAGYCAYWATSTTTACGTCAYTYAAGGAACCAATCAGAAGATCTGGAGTCAAAGAAGATCGTTTTGGGAAGTCACAAGTAGCTCTGAACAGCGTGGATTTTGATTGCAAATAAGTCATTATTGAGTTTGCCGTACGAAATCGATCCCAGCTTGGAGGATGAGCTTTATTGACGGCGGAAAACCTCACGTAGAATGGTTTATTTTTAAATTCTTGGCTGTTTTTGAATGCAAATGATTCAATCAAAGCCCAGGCCTGGTTGGGAACGTTAAAAGAACAATATACCYGGRTTGTGGCTTTGTTATCTGACCGCAATATCGTATAAACTCCATCTTGAGGGAAAGTTGGTGCATTTAACATAATGTCTATACACGAATGAGCCTTTTTTTCGCATACTTTGCCAGTATAATAGGAACTGCAGTTACATGTAAACTTTTCTTTAGGAGTGTGACAGTGCTCTACGCATGTCCCTCCGTTCATGCAAGGTTGAGATCGACAGCAGCCATTGTAGCACGAAACATCTGGTGGTAACATGTGGGATTCCTGTGGTAAAGAGAAAGTATTTGT